CACTTTAAAGAGGTCTTTTGCAGCAGATTTGCCCAGTGAAATGCATAGTTTGATCTCCTGACTGCTGGTTCCATGGGCATTGATTGTTGATCCAAGTAAATGAAATCTTTGACAACTTCAATCTTTTTTCCACTTATCATGATGTTTCTATTGGTCCAGTTGTGAAGATTTTTGTTTTATGTTGAGGTGTAATTCATATTGAAGGCTGTAGTCTTTGATCTTCATTAGTAAGTGCTTCAAGACTTCTTCACTTTCCACAAGCATGACTGTATCATCAGCAAACTGCAGGTTGTTAATGAGTTTTACTTCAATCCTTATGCTGCATTCTTCTTCATGGAAGCAGCAGTCAAGAACAAACAACGTATTACTTTGGGCAAATGGAATGTCTAACAATTTAGAATAATATAAATAAATGTTTCATAATTTGGAAAAGGAAAAAGACTAATTTCTTTTATATTTTGTAATGTCTTCAAATGGTATACTAACTCACTGCTGTCGAGTCGTTTCCAACTCATAGTGACCCCTCCTTGGGTTTCCAAGGCACTATCTCTATGGAAGTATATTGTCCAATATTCCTTCTGAGGAGTGGCTGGTGGGTTTGAACCACCAGCCTTTTATAACAACACAATGCTGAGAGTTACTTCCACTTTAACAAGAAAAGACATTAAAGAATATAAAGCTAAGCCCAAAATTTTATAAAGTAATAAGTTTTTTTAGCTCTTTACTCACAAAATTTCATTTTGCCTTCATGTAAAATTTTTGGGGTTTTAAATTTCTATACTATTCAATAAACACAGTTTCTTATAAAATGTTGTCTGTATGTAATGTATATGACCCTATACTATCACATAATATATGAAAGCAAATATTTTTTCCAAAGAGAAAGCATTATATCATTAATTTATTTTCAGAAATACCAAAGTTAGAAGAAAGGATCATGTGTATTTCATCTATATATTTCCTCTGGCATAGTCAGTATATATAACTGTGTATGTTATACAATCTTACCTCTGCTGGATGCTGAATTATATATAAGTGGGTAGAGATGTGTAGAGGATGCACTGGTAGAAATGGACATAAACACACTTTCAGAGGCCGTCTAAAGGGTAAAAAGAAAATACATCTGTCAATTTTTTTAAAATACAATTATATAATAGTAAGAATTAATTTAATCAAACTTCAGACATGAGCATTTGGAAAAAATTTCAAGTAAATTATTTACTATACATATGGATTCAAGTATTTCCAAAAAATCCCTATCTTACTTATTTTTACTAGAAGAATATTCAGAAATCATTATGGTCCCATTATTCAATGCTTCCACTAATTTTCACTCCAAAGCAATAAAGAGATCTCATGTCAAAGAGGAACCTGGCAACTCTTCTATATCATCTAAAATTGGAAGAAATTAGATGATAAAATATTAGAATATAATTATCAGCTATAGGAGAATCCTAACCAAACTTCTCCATCAATCAATACAAAAAGCTTTCAAATTGTGATGAGAAACTAGACTGGACTACAAAATTATCTTTAGCTAGAATTATATCCAGAAAATACCTTTTCTATTCAATTATTTTTCATTTGTGGTTATTTACTTTCTTTTTATGTTTTAGCTATTTTTTTTAGTTCTTTATTATTGTATACTTTCTACCTCAGTACTCCAAAATAGGATATTCTATATTGGAATTCACTGCCACTGAGTCGATTTCAACTCATAGCAACCCCTCCTTGGGTTTCTGAGGCAGTATCACTATGAAAGTAGATTGCCCAATCTTCCCTCAGAGGAGTGGCTGGTGCGTTTGAACCGCCAGCCTTCTGGTTAGCAGTCAAGTGCCTTAGGCACTATGCCACAAGGAAATACAGCTTCTTACCTACCCTCCCAGTGATATTTATGAATATACATAGATCTCCTATTTGCTATATGTTTTTATAATACAACATTCATCAGACACATAGACACTATGTATCCTGGGAGTAAATTTTCACAACAGATCACTATTTAAGGCAGATGTTACATGCCATTACAATGATATACAAAAAAATAAGATATTATAGGGAATTCCCAGTAGCATACTTATTACCAAAAAACTGCCAATTCTTTCCTAAATTTTACTTATTTAGAGTTATAGCATGAGTTTACAAATGCTTATATTAATAAACCATAAAGTGTGGATAAATTGGATTGAAAACCTGTTATATCTATCACCTCATCCTTCAAGAAACTGCCAAGCCTATGCTCCTGCTGAACAAATTATTGAGATGATATCTTAGGCAGAGGCAGAAACACCACCTCCACTGGACCTGAAGTGAATGATTAACACAAGGAAAACCAATACCCCACTTTCAGATGACCTGAGATGATTCTGTGTAACTTTTCAGTCCCACAATGGATTCTCTCTCAGGAGTATGAGAAGATTTGTGGGCTGGAGAGAGTCTTTCAGTGGTCACAAGAACAAGCAAACACAAGAGGAATAGACGCTGATTGATGAAACTGGGCATAATGACAAAAGGTACATGCAGGAGTGCTATAAGAAAGGATTCCTCATTCAGCAGAAGGATGAAGAGAATGAGGTACATTTAAAATTTAAGATCTTTATTTTTTTTTTTAGATGAAGCTATGTGAATGAGTAAAATGTTTGGATGTCAGTAGGTTTCTTTTATAAGATGCAATTGTAGATCAGACAAAGACATTTAAAAATTCAGAATTTAATTGGATTTAAACCTATGTATCTATAAATTGTATGATTCTTATGTCAAAGTGCCTAAGGCATTTGACCGCTAACCAGAAGGCTGGTGGTTCAAACTTACCAGTCACTCCTTGGAAGGCAGACTGGGCTATCTACTTCCGTAGAGATAGTCTTGGAAACCCAAGGAGGGGTCGCTATGAGTCAGGACCAACTCGACGGCAGTGAGTTTGGTTTGGTTTTTGAAGATAATGAAAGGATGTAAAGTTAAAAAAAAAAAAAAAATCCTATGCATGGAAAAAATTCACATATCAAGAGCCAAAGAACTGAAAAATCCAATTAAGTAAACAAACATGATCAGAAGAAGAGCAGATAAATTTTGTGATTAACTTTTTCAGCTCATGACATACGTAACCAACCAGTGGTCATCGAGTCAATTCTGACTCACAACAAACCCATCTCTATCAGAATAGAACTGTGCTCCATAGGGTTCTCAATGGTTGATTTTTTGTAAGCAGATTGCCAAGACTTTTTTGGGGGGCACCTCTAAGTAAATTGCTTTGAGTAAACTGCTAATCTTTTGGTTAACAGGCAAGTGCATTACCTGTTTGCACTACCACACACTTCTCATTTGCTATAGTTAAGTACAAAATTTGGCTTTAAATTTCCCAATAACTAACCTGATGTTGTTGTTGTTGTTGTTTTTGTTGTTGTTGTTGTTGTTGTTATGTGCCATTGAGTCGGACCCGACTCATAGCAACCCCTCCTTGGGTTTCTGAGGCAGTATCACTACAGAAGTAGATTGCCCCATCTTCCTTCCCAGGAGTGGCTGATGGATTTGAACCGCCAGCCTTCTGGTTAGCAGTCAAGTGCCTTAGCCACTAGGCTACCAGAGCTCCCAACTAACCTGATAAGATTTAAAAAAAAATTGCAGTCAATTTAAAACTTAAAATTCTATGAGAAGATTATAAATCACTCAGGGAGAAACATAACTATATTTGGAACCAAGAACAGACATTTCTCCCAGGGAGTCTTGGTAAAGAGGGTATGTGATAGAATGGCAAACAAAATACTCAACGATGAAATTTGTTTCATCAGCATTATCTGTGCTGAGAGCGTAAAACCAAAAGGCAAATGGCAAAAACAGTATTTTAAATGGCAATACAATGTGGATGCTGTTGTTGTTGTTAGGTGCCATTGAGCCAGATCTGACTCATAGTTACCTTGTGTACAACAGAACAAAACATTGTCTGGTCCTGCACCATCTTCACAATTCTTCTTATGTTTGAGGTCACTGTTTCAACCATTGTTTTAATCCATCTTCCTGAGGGTCTTTCCATTTTTCACAGATGGTCTACTTTTCTAAGCATAGTTTCTTCTGAGAACATGACCAAAGTAAGGGAGATGAAGTCTGCCCATTCTCTCTTCTAAGGAATATTCTATAACACTTCTTCCAGGACAGATTTCATCATTCTTCTGGCAGTCCATGGTATTTTCAGTATTCTTCACCACACCACAATTTCAAAGCAGCAACTCTTCTTTGGTAATCCTTATACACTGCCCACCTTTCATATGCATATGAGGCAATTAAAAATACCATGGCCTAGGTTAGCAGTACCTTAGTCTTCAAAATGACATCTTTGTTTCTCAATGCTTTAAAGGAGTCATTTGCAGCAAATGTGCCCAGTACAACACAATGTCCGACTTCTTGACTGCTGCTTCCATGGGTGTTGACTGTGGATCCAAGTAAAATGAAATGCCTGACAACTTCAATCTTTTGTCCAATTACCATGATGCTGCTTTTAGGTCCACTTGTGAGGATTATCATTTTTTATGTTGAGGAGTAATTCATACTGAAGACTGTATTCTTTGATCTTCATCAGTAAGTGCTTCAAGTCATCTTCACTTTCAACAAGCAAGATTGTATCATCTGCATATCACAGGTTGTTAATGAGTCTTCATCCAATTCTGATGTTGTGTTCTTCTTCATACAGTCCAGCTTCTCTGATTATTTGATTGTCATACAGATTGAATAAGTATGGAGAAATGATACAACCCTGACCCACACCTTTCCAGATTTTAAACCATGCAACATCCCCTTGTTCTGTTCAGATGACAGCCTCCTGGTCTATGTACAGGTTCCTCATAAGAACAATTAAGCATTCTGGAATTTCCATTCTTCACAATGTTATCCATAATTTCTTATGATCCACACAGTCAAATGTCTTTGTATAATCAATAAAACAGAGGTAAATATCTTTCTGGTATTCTTTGCTTTTAGCCAAAATCCATCTGACATCAGCAATGACGTCCCTCATTCCACGTCCTCTTCTGAATCCAGCTTGCATTTCTGGACATTCCCTGCCAATATATTACTGCAATTGTTTTTGAATTATCGTCAGCAAAATTTTACTTGCATGTGATATTAATGATATTAATAATTCCCACATTCTGTTGGATCACTTTTTTGGAATGGATACAAATATATGTCTTTTCCAGTCTGTTGGCCAGGTCTTCCAAATTTCTAGGCATAAATTTATGTCTCCAGAGCTACATCAGTGTGTTGAAATATCTCAAGGGTATTCTGCCAATTTCTGGAGTTTTCTTTTTCCCCAATTCCTCCAGTACAACTTGGATTTCTTCTTTCAATACCATTGGCTCTTGATTATGTGCTACCTCCCAAAATAGGTGAACATCAACAAATTCTTCTTCGTACAGTGACTGTGTATTCCTTCCATTTTCTTTGGATGCTTCCTGCATCATTCAACATTTTGCCTATAAGAATCCTTCAATATTGCAACTCAAGGCTTGAACTTTTTCTTCAGTTCTTTTAGCTTGAGAAATGCCAAGTTGTTTTTCCCTTTTGGTTTTCTAACTCAGTTTCTGCACATTTGATTATAATACTTTATTTTGTCTTCTTGAGCTGACCTTTGAAATCTCTTCAGCTCTTTTATTTCATCATTTCTTCCATTCACTTTTGCTACTCTATGTTCAAAAGGAAATTTCATAGTCTCTGCTGACATCGATTTGGGTCTTTTCCTCCTTTCTTGCCTTTTTAATGACCTTTTGCTTTCTTCATGTGTGATGTTCCTGATGTCATCCAACAACTTCTCTGGTCTTCAGTCATTGGTGTTTGATGCGTCAAATCTGTTCTTCAGATGGTCTCCAAATTCAGGTGGGATATACTCAAGATCATATTTTGGCTCTCATGGACTTGTTTTAATTGTCTTCAGTTTCAACCTGAACTTGCAGATGAGTAATTGATGGTCTGTTCCACAGTGAGCTCCTGGCTTTGTTCTGGCTGAAGATACTGAGCTTCTCCATCGTCTCTTTCCACAAATGTAGTTGATCTTATTTCTATGTATTTCACCTGAGAAGGTCCATGTGTATCACAGCCATTTATGTCACTGAA